GGCTGCTGGTGATGGAGTAAAGGTGTAGGAGATATTTTCTTGGCACACTTTGTGCCCCTTAATAGCAGCTGAATATCACTGAAATACCACAGCCTACCTGAGTATTTCTGCTGACCATGTCCATTTCTTTATGACCATAGTGAATGCATCTTCTGATGCCTGCTTCTAATAGGATAATGCACCATGTCACAAAGCTCAAACGATCTCAAACTAGTTTCTTGAACTGGACTAAAATTACATCCACAGTCACGGAGTACTTTTTGGGTGTGGTGGAACAGTAGATTCACATGATGGGTATGTAGCCAACAGTCTGCAGCAACTGTGTGATGGTTTCATGTCAGTATGAACCAAAATCTCTGAGTAAAGTTTCCAGCACCTTGTTGAATCTATAGCAAGAAGAATTATGGCAACTGAAGGACAAAGAGGTCCAACCTGCTACTAACATGGTGTACTTAATAATAAAAAATAAATAAAGTGCTTGGTGAGTGTATGTACACGTTGATCCACGCTTCCTGCCTCCTTCCTCCTTGTTTGAATGATGACAACATTTCATAAGTTTTTACATTTTACAACTGGTTCTGGTTCTAAATGAAACTTTGGAGCAACATAATAAACAGGATTGATCAATTTGTAGTTAAAGTAAATAGTCTGCGGTACCTTACTTGACAGAACGTATTAATTTTTCTGTTGTTGGCCATAACAAAATGTAATTTAATCTTTAGTAAAAAAAATCTCATTAAAAATAGGAAATGGGTTAAATATTTCTATATTTCCTGATGATTTTGCTTTTTTAGAAAAAGCCGAAACTCTTTGGTGAGCACAAAATATGCACAAAAAACCCTGATATGTACCTGTGGTTGTGTTTAAATGGAACTAAAACTCAGAAATGCTAAATATTTTAAATATTTTATTGTTTATTACACTGACACAGGCAGCCTTCACGAAATCAGCTGCTGACAAAAATAACAGTAAATGATGAAGAAGAAAAGTAGACATACAAGGTCTTCTGAGACGCCGCAAAAGCTCAGCAGGACGCCGATGCCAGTGGATGTCACCAGTGAGAAGAGGTCACCTGGAAACAGAGGGCGACCTCGGAAGACTGCCGCTGTAACCACAGATAGTTTCTACCTGAATGACTGTGCAACAGAAAAGACCACCGATGCAGACTTCAATGTGACGACAGTCGAAGACGCCCAGAAACATCCAGAGACTAAGTCCAGATCTTCAGGTTAGTGGCTCACTACGCCCGTTTTAAACACAGAAAGTTGATGTTAGTGTAAGCTATTGTGGGATATTTGTCATGTGATTCTCAAACTATTTAACTTAGCAAAGCCAGTGCAGAAAAAACAATGTTACGGGCCTCTAATCAGAGGTAGATCCTGTGTGTTTGGCACAAACCAAGTAAAATAGAGTATACTGTATATTATATTTCTCTGTTAATGTGGACACTAGTAAATTGTATTATTGGAGCACTGTAAGATGAAATCAAGTTGTGATGCCCCCTCAGGTAGACTCTCTGCTGCTGTCTGCCGGCTTTGTCACGGGAAGTTTTCTCCGCGCAGCTTGCGGCACGCCTTCAACAAATGGCCTCAGGATTCCCTCAGTATCGTAGACGAGGAGTCAGACGCCGTGGCCCAGTCACCGCTTCTGTTCCACACAGACTTCCAAAGGCTGGTCGGGGTCCAGGTGGACCGTGACCCTCGGCTTTCGGAATTTATTTGCAAGAAATGCCATGCAAAGTTTTATAAGTGCCAAAGCATCCTGATCCGGTTTCTGCAGAGAGTCAATCTCCCGCCTGTGGGGAAGGAGAACCTGAAAAATCAGTGAGTCAATAAAAAAAACAAATATATCTACCTGAGGGTGACTGTAAAGTGTTTTTACTGCAGAAAAACATGGGGAAGTGTTTGTGTCTGTTTCAGGAAGAATGCAAAGGGTCCAGAGTCCTCTGTAAACCATTGCTCATCAAGTAAGTAAAACATTACTTCCTCACTCCATCTTGCTGAAGTTCCATAAGTTGAACTGTTCTAACAGGCTCTTCTGTTTTCTTCAGCTCCCTCATCCTTTACCTCAGACACAAAGTGCCTCCACAGTCTGGTGTCCTGGGCTCATCACCACGGAGAGGCCTGCCGCTCCTGCCCCGACCTGAAGGAGGTGCTGGAGGGCCAGTGCCTGGGCGCCATTAAGGCTGTTTGGGGTTGCGTCAATGGTCACAGATACATCATGGACACTCACCGCAGCACTACCTCCAACCAGTGCTCCAGCAACAGAGCATTAGGGAGTGGGAGGGGTGATGGAGCAATGTCAGAGGAGGAGGAACAAGAACAAGACGGCGAGGAAGACGAAGAGGAGCAATCCGGCGGGAA